ACCGACTGGCCGACCGACAGGAAACCCCTCCCCCGTAGAATCGAAAAATTGGTCTTCAGATCCACGGTACCGTAGATCCCATGTCCAATGGGCCCACGATATCTGTTATTCCTGCCTCAGTTCCTGTATACAATATACATGTATGTGTAGCACCTCGCAGCTGCGGATACGAGTGAGGGTGCGGCGGGGACGTTGGCAGTCTGCGAGGCTTTGGTGAAGCCCGCCGCAGGCCCTTCAACTTCTACAAGTAATGCATCGAACCCGCCGCAGGCGCCGAATTACTCGTTTAAGCAATGTGGGTGGGTCGCGGGTTTGTCGCGGGTGTGTCGCGGGGTGGGTCTCGGGTGGGTCGTGTTTGGGTCGCGGGTGGGATGTCGACAACAATCCACAACAACAACATCAACAACAACAACCACAGCAACAACCGCGACCACAACGACGACAACAACAACAACAACAACAACAACAACAACAACAACAACAACAACAACAACAATCATTTTACCCGAACGCGTGGTGTTCTCCCCAGTGCCAGGGTTTTCATACGACACCAGGCAATACCCCCACTTCGTGGGGGGCCATTACAAGCTCTACCAAATATCCAAACGACTCTTCGCGACCACCCAAACCCAGCTTCCCGCCCTATGACGTTGGGACACTTCACTTCGTGGCGTGCGGACGACCGTGGCTACTACACTGGCGTGGGGTACACACCCACAGTTGGGGGCTTATTGGGTCCTCACGGCGGGCTCTTGGGGCCTCTTGAAGGCCTCCTGGGGCAACCTATGGCGCAACCAGTAGGGGGACGTTTTATTCTCAGCGGCCGAGGGCGCAACCTATGGCGCAACCAATAGGGGGGCGTTTTATTCTCGGCGGCCGAGGGCGCAACCTATGGCGCAACCGCAAGGGATTATGGCCCCTGGCAGGCGCGCGAACCCCGTTGCAAGAGCGTGCGAAAGTAGCTCGCGCGAGCTCATGTAACATAAATGTTGGAAAACCATTGGTTGTTTTAGGATTCGGACAGCGCGCGCGGGTGGAAATTTTGAAAAGTCGTGCAGGTGTTTTTCGAGGACCTACGGTGCGATTCGTGTGATTTTATGATGCGCGGTGCTAAAATTCTTAAGAACCCAATGGTTTTTGGAGATTTCGGCGTGCGCGCGAAGAAAAAACGAATGTGTCCCGCATGGTATTATTTGACAGGGATGATGGCCCTGGCAGGTGCGCAACCGTTGTTGCAGAAGTTCGAAAAAGTTGCTCGCAAAAGCCCGTTTGACAGAAATGTTTAAAAAGTGTTGGGTTTCCTACGAATCCGCAAGAGCGCGCGGGATGAGATTTTGACATTTTTTTGTTGAAAAAACCATTGGTTTTTTGATGTTTTTATGTTAAAATCGCTCCGAACACTAAGGTTTTGGAAGGATTTCGTCTTGCGCGCGCGAATGTCCACTTTACCTTATTTTTTGCAAGGGATTCTTGAAATTTGATTATATTAGAACAAGAAATGTCATTTTATAGTGTTTTTTGCAAGGGAAAACGGATTACAACAAAACAACCGGATCTGGACACATCCACTTTTCTGAAGCTTTCGCGAAAATGATGAAAATGTAGCTGCGGCCTAGGCGCGGCGGGGGGGCCGTGCACCAGGGGCCCCAACAATAATTATTCTTTAGAATTAATAATGTTCAACAACAACAACAATTACTAGCACGTGGGGACACTCCGTTCTCACCAGTGCCAGGGTTTTCATAGGAGGCGGGCAATACCCCCACTTTGTGGGGGGGCCGGTTCAAGCTCTACCAAATTTCCAAACGACTCTTCGCCACCACCCACACCCAGCTTCCCGCCCTATGACGTTCGGACACTTCACTTCGTGGCATGCGGACGACCGTGGCTACTATTCAGGGCCCCGCGGCCGACGACGACGGCGTGCGCGCGCGAAGAAAAAACGAATGTGTCCCGCATGGTATTATTTGACAGGGATGATGGCCCTGGCAGGTGCGCAACCGTTGTTGCAGAAGTTCGAAAAAGTTGCTCGCAAAAGCCCGTTTGACAGAAATGTTTAAAAAGTGTTGGGTTTCCTACGAATCCGCAAGAGCGCGCGGGATGAAATTTTGACAATTTTTTTTGAAAAACCATTGGTTTTTTGATGTTTTTATGTTAAAATCGCTGCGAACACTAAGGTTTTGGAAGGATTTCGTCTTGCGCGCGCGAATGTCCACTTTACCTTATTTTTTGCAAGGGATTCTTGAAATTTGATTATATTAGAACAAGAAATGTCATTTTCTATTGTTTTTTGCAAGGGAAAGCGGAATTACAACAAAACAACCGGATCCTGTACACACCCTCTTTTCTGAGGCTTCCTCACGAAAATGATGAAAATGTAGCTGCGGCCTAGGCGGCGCAGGGGGGGCGCGCACCAGGGGGCCCAACAATAATTATTCTTTAGAATAAATAATGTTCAACAACAACAACAACAACAGCAACATCAACAATCATTTTAATACTGTTCGCTCTTATCTGTTCGAGTGTCCGTGAACACGTATTTCCCAAACCCTGGATACCCGCCCTCTTCGTCTTCGATCGTATCCCTTTTAGGGGGTCGACCCTTCTTCCATGCAGGCTGGGCCCCGGGAAGCGGCGGGGCGGCCGCGGACCGTCGGCCTGGCCAGCGGCAGCGCTGATCGGCGGCAACCCGACCCAAGAGGGACGGACAGGGGACCGACCACGACGACGACGATGACGACGTCGACGACGACGACGGCGACGACGAGCGAAAGCGAGAGCGAGAGAGAGAACGACAACAGGGCCACGAAAGGGCACGAAGTAGGCCACGAAGGGCGACAGCTGGGCCACGAAAGGAATGCGCATGGTGCCACGAAGAGCGCGAACGAGCGGGGGCCACGAAGGGCAGATAATGCGGGGCCACACAAGGCAACGTCGGGGCCACTGAGGGTAGCAACTGGGCCAAGTAGGACAGCGAGGGGGCCACAAAGGGCGACAGCGGGGCCAGGAAGGACATGCAAGTGGGGCCACGAAGAGCGCGAACGAGCGGGGGCCACGAAGGGCATACGTATATTGGGCCGCGAAGGGCAAGGACCGGGCCACTGAGGGCAGCAACGGGGCCAGGAAGGGCAGCGAGGGGGCCACGAAGGGCGACAGCGGGGCCACGAAGGGCATGCATATGGGCCACGACGAGCGCGAACGAGCGGGGGCCACGAAGGGCATACATATATGTGGCCACGAAGGGCACCGAGAGGGCCACGAAGGGCAGCGAGGGGGCCTCGAAGGGCTGCAACGGGGCCACGAAGGGCAGCGGGGGGGCCACGAGAGGCTGCAAAAGGGCCACGAAGGGCAGCGAGGGGGCCACGAAGGGCGACAGCGGGGCCACGAAGGGCAGACGAAGAGGTGCAACGGGGCCACAAAGGGCAGCGAGGGGGCCACGAAGGGCTGCAACGGGGCCACGAAACAAAGCGAGGGGGCCACGAAGGGCTGCAACGGGGCCACGAAACAAAGCGAGGGGGCCACGAAGGGCTGCGACGGGGCCACGAAACACAGCGAGGGGGCCACGAAGGGCTGCAACGGGGCTACGAAACAAAGCGAGGGGGCCACGAAGGGCTGCAACGGGGCCGCGCAACAAAGTGAGGGGGCCACGAAGGGCTGCAGCGGGGCCACGAAGGGCAGCGAGATCCTGATTCCTAAATAATCTGTGAGGGGGTCCTAAGCGTGAGCGCGACTCCTGGGTGCCTGAGTGTCGGGAGCGCGGCGCTCAGCGAATTGCGGGGAATTGCAACGCAAGGGCGCTGCTCTTGAGTAATTTGCAAGCAAGTCTCCAGCGAGAGCGCGATTCCAGAGCGCCGAGAGAGCGGTTCCTGCATAGATTAGAAGGAAGTCCCTAGAAAAAACGCGATTCCTGCATAAAATACGAGGAAATCTTGGGCGGGAGCGGGGGTCCTGGCTAAATTATGAAGAAATCTCAAGCGGGAGCCGTTGTTGTTGTAACCCGGGGGCCAACAACGCAGTTTGAGGAGGAAGACTTTCCCTGATAAGAAAACAGGGTGCGAGCGCCGGGAAAGGCACTTCAATTGAAAAATACAATCTGCACCGGAGGGGGGGATCAACAAGAAATATTCTTCAGTAGTCAGAATTCAACACCAGCAACAACAATCCGCACAGGGGAACCTCACTTCAGCCACGTGCCCAGGGACAGTGAATGACCGTTCGGCCCCTTCACTCTCATAAATATGCATTCTACAGCTGGTGGCGAACGAGTGGGACCCACCAGGCTTCCACTCCAAAAACGGGGTCTGGAAGATAGATGGATGGGATGCACGCGACTCTTGTAGACATGCACTGGGATCCAATGGGGTCCATGGTTCTTTCATGCAAGCAGAACAGCTTTCGGCCCAGGGATGTAGCGGGGGCTGCCGGGGCCAGCTGAGAGCTCCCGAGGGGGGTCCTCGGCACGGGGTGGCAGTGGCTCACGCCGTCGCCCCGCGGGCTTAAGGCTCCACTGTGCTGACGGAGTTCTGAACGTCTTCTCCGAATTATCTACCCTCCTCCGCATCCTCCTCCCCCTCTCCTCCTCCGACGGCTCGTCTTCTCCTTCTTTTTTCCTGCGTCTCGTCCTCCTCCTCTTCCTTCTCCACTTCCTCCTTCTCCACCTCATCCTCCTTCTCTTCTTTCTCCTCCTCATCCGTCTTCTCCTCTTTCTCCTCCCTATTGCGATCCTCGGCCTCTCCCCGCCCCATACAATGGCGACCAAAAGCAGATCCGACTCTTTCCTTCGGGAGCAATGCTGCACAGAACAAGCTGGAGGACACGTGGCACGAAAAGGCAGGAAGGATTGAGAGCGCCCTTGATCTTTCAGGGTCGACCTTCTCATCGATTTCATCAGTGCGGCTGCAGAGGAGACAGAGGGGGAGAGAGTGAGAGTGAGCGAAAGAGAGAGAGAGAGAGAGAATACGATATACAAATATATTGAACAAGAGGGGGCGCAAGCGCGCCACTGGGTCGTCCGGGTAGCAGCCAGCCAGCTTCGCCGCCATCCGCGCCATAGAGCCGCTCTGGAGACGCGCGGCAACGCTTTGGTACCGACGTCTTCTTCATCGTCGCTGTCGACCCCGTCTTCGTCGACGTCGTCGTCGTCGTCGTCCTCCTCCTCCTCCTCCACATCTTCGTTACCCTCGCCCCCGTCCCCCTCTGCCTCCTCCTCCCCCTCCTCCTCCGCCTTTCCTCCTCCTCCTCCTCCTCCTCCTCCTCCTCCTCCTCCTCCTCCTCCTCGTCCTCCTCCTCCTCCTCGTTCTCCTCCTCCTCCTTTTCCTTCTTCTCCTCCTCTTCCTCCTCCTCTTCCTCCTCCTCCTCCTCGTCCTCGTCCTCCTCCTCCTCCTCCTCCTCCTCCTCCTCCTCCTCCTCCCTCCCTCTTCGAGGAGCGAGCCAGGAGGAGGGGGAGGCCCCTTCCGCTGGAAGATGCGGGGAAGGAACGATCCTGCGCGATCGGCAGGCCGTCCGCGAAGATCACGGGCACCTCGGAGACTCCTCCTCCTCCTCCTCCTCCTCCTCCTCCTCCTCCTCCACCTCCTCTTTCTCCTCCTCCTCCTCAACCTCCTCCTCCTCCTCCTCTTCTTCCCTCCTCGTCCCCCTGTCCCTTCCTCCTCTTCCTCGTCCTCCCGCTCCTCCTGCTCTGTCCTCTTCCCCCGTTTCTCGTTTCGCCGCAATGGTTTTTTCCCATCGCGCCCTGCGCCCGCACTGGCGCTCTGGTCGCGGGCCGGGCGGGGGTGGCGAGGGAAGGCTGCACATTGGCAGGGGCGCAGGTCGGAGTCTTTCATCCGCCAGCCCCTGCCAGGTGCTCAGCGCTGCCCAACACAGCGCACCAGCGCCCAGCCCACGTACTTGATGCAGTCGGCGGTCGCTTCTGGGCTGGAGAGCGCCAGGAGCGCCGCTTGCTGCGTCTCAGGCGGCCCTCTGTCGATGGATGCCCACAGCTGGCGTCGCGACGCCAAGGTGTGTCCGCACGCAAGCAATGCGTAGGGGACGTCCAGCTCCGCGCTGGGGCATGCAGCATAGCAAGGCAGAGAGCCAGCGGCGCGTCCTCCACGCCTAAGAGTGGTAGTGGCCAGCGCTCAAACACTCTGCATAACGCCCACAGCCTGTAGTACAGGTTTCCTCCAAGATCCTCTAGCAAGTCCTGCTGCGTATCCTGTTGCAGGGCCGGGCATGCGGCTGCGAAGAGGTAGCTCCAATCATGGCAGCGGCCAGCTAGCCGCCGCATCTACCCATGGCTGGCCATAAGCGCACAGAGCGGGCAACGCCACCTCTTGGCGGCACCGCCGGAGAAGCGTTTTCCGGCCTGCTGGCGAAGACTGGGCTGCGACCACCTCCTTTGTGAAAAACCTTCGTGAAAAATGATGTCTGGAAGGGGCTCGTTCGGCATGCCGGCCATGATCTGGCCAGCCGCGCGCCACCAGGAGGGCGCCGGCGACTCGCGCGCGGCGTCCCACATCGTCGTCGCCGGGTGTCCCTCCGGGAGGACCCAGAGCCTGGCGCGGGCCATGATCACCTGCAGGGACATGAGTGTGCCAACCCTCTGGTCCCACTGGCACTGGAGGCGCGAAAGGGCCCAGTTCAGTCTGGGGCCGTGTCTGAGCCCAAGGTGAGCCTGGCCAGGCGCGCTTGCAGGCTATCGAGATCACTCTCAATATTGGGCACAGCTGCAAGCACGGCGGCGCCTGCCAGCACAGCGGGTACAAATCGCATCACAACTTGGGCAACTGAGGCACGAACCGGAAAGCCGCCCGCCTCCGCTGCTTGGTATAGCTCATCGAACAAGGAGAGCCCCACGGCTAATTAGGGTGGCCTTAGCGTGGGGGATGAAGGACAGCTCGGCGTCAAGGGTGGTCCCAACAATCTTGTGTGTTTACATGAGATCGAAGCCCGTGTCAGACGATTCAAATATGGGGCTGCCGCGCAGAGCCATGCATTCGGTTTTCCCGGGGCCGAAATAGAAGGCAGCCTTATGACTCGCAGCATACTTCACCGTGGCGGAAGGGATGGCCTGGTCCAGGATGGCCCTGGTTCCCCCTGCTGATGGGCAACGAGCCACCCCGTCGTCGATGTACTGCAACATGACCAGCCCGCGGCGGCCCGCACATTCGATGACCGCAAGGCGGTCTGACAGTGACGTGACCTGCGCCAGGACCGCCGCCGCAGCCACAAACAGGGCACCGCTTGCTCCTATCTGCACGGGTGACCTGTTCACAAGCTTGCTGCGCCTTCGCTAAGACCTTTTCGGGCCCTACTGGGGCCTCAGCAAGTAGCTCGGCTGGGGACCAGGCGTGGGCCTCAAGCAGGGCTGTCTGGGCCCGCGGCGGCGGCGTTGCTCGCACCCCGCCAGGGCGCGCCGACTCCACCTCGTCTCGCAGATCCCGGAGGAGGGCGTTGAACGCTGGGGCAGAAAATCAGCGTCCTTGCGCCGTGCCACATGCCAGGACGAACGCCGAGGAGAGAAGCCCATGCAGTTCTAATGCCTGGGTGTCTTGCTGCATGACGTCGTCGAGCCACAGCCAGGCGCGCCCGTGTACTCCTGCCCTACAAGTACCCAGTAACATACCATTGTGGCCTGCTACATCAAAGCCCCAATTAAGGTCTATGAGTGATGCAAAGCACGAGTGCGACAGGATCAGATACACCACCGGCTTGGCTATCAACACAGTACTCTTGGTTTCATGGAAGATGTCTTTCAGCCCATAGCGCGAATTGAGCAAAGTCCGAGCATGTGATGCTGGGCCGGAGGCAGCTGGTGGAAGCACGATGTGCGGGCCTGATTTGTCTAGGCGAATCTTTCCGCAGCGACCGCACTGATGCCGCGATGCCCATGCGGTGGGACAAGTTGGCGAGGCAGGCGGTCGCTCTCCTGCCGGCCAGGACCGAAGATTTAAGGGCTGCCGTAGCGCAGCCAAGACCACCCCCGCACGCCCGCTGACGGGCGATGGCCCGGGTGATCTCCTCTGCAGTGTAAGGGCCCGCGGCACTAGACGTGGAAGGCGCGCCCCCCGGCGTGGCGCCAGCTTTCCGTGCCGCGCAAAGCTTCGCGCTCCATTGCAGCGGCGACGGCCTCGTCCTGCGGGAATGTGTCCTGCGCTCGGGCGAGAAGGTCACCCACGAGTGCCTGAACCATTTGCTCCTGCGACATGGCCCCGCCTGTCGCCAAGTCGTCGAGTGCTACTTGGGTAGAGGCGCCTCCCCGGAACAACGAGGAGAGGAAACGTTCCCTCGACCTGGGTCGCTCTCCCGGAGGGAAATGTACTTCGAAGGTGCGTCGCCCTCCGGACGGCCCCGGTAGCCTCCTGAACTGCCTGCTTGAACTCCGCAAAAGTCTCGAAGCCGTCCGGAGATGGCCCCGGCGCCCTTCGTTTGGGCGCGCGCTGCCGCGGGGCCGCAAGCTCGACCGCGCCTGCTGCGTGGCCGGCTACAACCACCACGACGCCGCAACACCAAGTCGCGCAGTCCAAGATGCCACGCCGCACCTTCTTCGACGACGTGCCTGATAGGATTGGCGGCGCCAGGACTGTGTCGCACGGGAGCGGGCCAAAGCGTCAGAAAGTAAGTCCAAGAGAGGCGCGACAATATGTAGCGCAGTGTCCAATTTATCAGTTGATGCCCACGGAGCCCTCCCGACAACCGCGTCAAACCGAAGGGTTAGTTCATGCGGGGGGCGGCCGAGAACCAATTTGCGGTCGGAGGCCGCTACGAACGAGTCCAAAACGCTGACCTGGATTGGCAAACTTGTCGCAGCTAGGACTACGCCAACCGCTGTACCTGACGCGTAGGCGGGCACGGGGGAGTCGTGAACAGAGCTAGTCCGGCCTCAGCGGCCATTGCCTGCGCAGCTCTGTCCGCCGTGGACTGCGCGCAATCGGCACATCTACAGCCAGGGGCATGGTCAAGGAAGTGTGCCCAGTGTGCGTTACCATCGCCATGTAAGATATGCTGCGCCTGTGGGTCAGCAGCCGAAAGGACCGCTCGGGCTCGAATGACAGCTCCCCAGGTCCCTCTGTCGCCCCCCGGGGCACCATAGAAGCCATAGACGTATGTGCATCGGCATTCATTGGAGGCGCTCGGGCTCCGCGCCTTGAGGGTATGCCACCTATCATCACAATATTTTTCGATTGAGATCACTGGTGGCAGAAGTTCCGCAAGGATAAGACAACCAACTGATGCATATGAGGACGCTTACTTGCCAACCCACGCGCATGGGAAACTCCCGGGCAAACGTGCACCCGGTGGGAACCGTGCCCCAGAGATCACACAGATGTGTACTTCGTTTTGCTGCAACGACGCCGATATACCCCAGAGCCGCCAATGCAGAAGCTCATTCGCCCCCAACGTGGAAAGGCCGACAACCCCCGGGTTCCTGGAGCCAATCGCGCGGCCCTCTGTCTGAAGGGGCGCTGTGGTCAGTGCCCTGGCAACCGCCTCGCCAATGCGCTCTCCGCCCACGTAGGGCGACGCGATAGGCTGGTTCAGCCCCGCCCCCTGCATACCCCGGAGCGCCTCCTTCAGGAAGCGGCCGAGATCGTCCACGATGGCAGCCAGCGATCGGATGCTCGCACCTCCAGCAGGCTGGAGGCGGGCAGGCCTGTCCGGCTGCACCTCGAGGAGCGCCGCCATCCCTTTCTGGGACGCTACCCGCTCACACTTCCGTGGGCGCCCATTGCGCCAGGCAGTTAGCAATTGTCTGAGGCCTTCCATGGGCAAGGGCCGGTGGGTGGGCTGGTGACGCGCGACATCAGTGTCGCGCACGGCCAGGCCTACGCGGGCAGCACAGCGCCGCGCACGCGAGGTGGGCTTCCCCGCCCCGTCTAAGGATGTTTGGCCCTGGTCCGAACCAGTCGGCGAAGCTCGAGCGCATAGGGACCTGACCCCCGCCCCCACCCCCACCCGGCGAAGGAGGGAAGACGACGGGAGAGGAGCAAGAAGCTTCCAGAAAACAATTTTAGAGGGCAGGGGGCTAGAGCCAAGTCGCCTACTTGGATGGCCGCGGCGGTTGCTAAGTACTTAACATACTTACTACGCTAAGTTAAGTACTTAGTAAGTAGTTAGCGGACTTAGCTAAGTACTTACTAAGTCATTACTAAGTGGCCCACTTAGTAATGACTTAGTAAGTACTTAGCTATCCACTTATAACCAGTTAGCTAAGTGCTTAGCGCACTTAGCTAACCACTTATAACCACTTATAGCTAGTTAGCTAAGTAGGTTATAAGTGACTTAGTGGTTACATTGCACTTGTTATCCAAGGGCACTGCACAGGGAAAAAGGGTAAATCCACCTCTTGAAAGAGCTGAGTTTGTTCGTTGAGCGTTGCAGCGCTACAAATTTTGCATTTTGATTTGGAGCCGGTGTCCTGGATTTTTGCCTTAAATATGAGAAGCGCTGCAGCGCCGCCTTCGGATTTATATGAACATGAAGCGCTGCGTGCGCTGAATATGAAGCGCCGCAGCGCTGAATGTTGAGTTAAACGCATGCATG